TACGATCCTGAAAAGTGTTCTGGGGCACTTTTAGCAGTTGATTCGTTAGAAATATTTAAAAAATTGTGCCCGTATTTTCGCTTCCTTACACCAAAAGCTAAAAGTTATAGTTCTCTCTTACTCCTTATTTCAAGCTTACTCCACGTATTGTAGACGACGCTTTTAACGATTCCCTCAATATTTTTGAAATTGTATCTTGCCTGCTAATAATAACATATTTTTCTGTCTATCTCTGTTGCTCGATTGCTATTTTGATACATTAATAACATTACACGACGAATAACAAATACGAGTCTTGTAACTAAATATATCGTCTTTGCAATTGTAACAGTTGCAACTGTTGTGCAAGAAATGACGCAATGTTGCCAGATAGCACAAAGGTGAAGGTAATAAGTTCATAAAGAATTGATCATTATAAAGAAAACATACCTGTAGAATTAGAAAACTGAATATCTGAAGAATTCTTGAGAAATCAGCCACAATCAGATCGTCTTGAAGTGTTCGTCAGAAGTTCATTATGGTACATACATGTAATTTCCGCACATAAATAATTCATTTTAAGGATGTATTGGACGTACAATCTTAGACAAAAGTGCATGAAATTGGAAATACTTAAATATCTACTCTTACCGCATAGTAAATCTAGATGTAAGAAACTTGAACGATAGTTGGAGTCTTATTTGTACTCCTACAAAGGTATTTTTCACTTTACAAATGTTTTTTCCTAAATTATTTGTGATTTTTTTCACTTATGAGCCTAAACTTTTGATAGTGAAAATACTCTGATTTCAATTCTTAATAACGTCAAATATTTTTAAAACTAAAAAATTCGTGCCGACTGCACGAATATTTCAAGTTATATTTTATTATATTTTATTTCTTTAAAACGGTGCAGTAAAGACTATTGAAACTTGGTAGATATTTTCATCTATTCGTATACTAGATGTATAAAAAAATTCAAAACACTAGCACTATTTCTTCTACATTTTTTTAGCTGTTTTATCCGTGAAGATCAGCTTTTCCCATAAGAGTACGTGTAAAATCAGTGTAAATTAAAATAGTTATATCTCAGCAACCGTTTAGTGGATGCATTTTTACTTTTCTGCAATAAATTAGGAAGACTAAAAGAACAATTTCACAAATTTTTAGCGAATTTGTACTATTTTGAAGATGGGTCCGATACATCCTTAAAGAAACAATACCTGCAGATTTAGAAAACTGAATATCTCAAGAATTCTTGAAGAATTAGCCACAATCAGTTTGTCTTGAACTTTCCTCTAATTACTTTACATCGTTTATTATTACCGACCACTGCAGCGATTGTTGTTTTAAATCTGAGAACATTTTCATTTTTATCTAAAACGTATAATCATTTTTTTCGTCTAAACCAGATGGCATACATCGCTAGGCGCTCTAAATATTTATTGTAGCATTATCATTGCTGCTTATCGCAGCACAACCCTTTAAGGACGACAAGTTTTCTTTTTACCTAAACGTGTGTAGTAATATTTTTTATCTATACATCCATACAGTATACATTACTAATCTGCTCGCTCTGGATATAGTCTTCCCGCATTGTCGAGCAGTTTATTATTTTAAAGCGAACTCCCCTCCCTACGGGATGCCTGTATCCCTCGTCCACTTCTCGTCTCCTTCCCTCTTTCTCTCGTTCCTGCTTTCGCTCACGTAGGCCCCTCGAGATAATGCAGTCATCCCGATTTCTTTTAGATCAGTACTATTTTAAAAATTCACGCATGCTGCGAGACGTTGATTCACGCTAGCACGCAACAACGAACGTGTGTGCGAGAATGCGCGCGTGCAACCCGGTCGTGGTCGAGCTTACATCTTTTTCACTTCAAATTCAATGCGCTACGAACATGCAAGCGAACCGGCAAACAGCGATCTGTCAGTAGATTATCGGCAGATTCCACTGAAAACATACAGCAAATTTGTGTCCGCATTAAATTCGTTTTTTGCTATAATATAGTACACTGAAAAAATTTTCTGCTATTTGCTTTCATAACAATTAAACACTTAATTTGCTTTCGGCGAATCAGCTCTGTACAGGGTAAAATTTATGAAAGGCGCATTAGACTTATCCGTTTCACTCGAGATTAAAACATTCTTATGCGGGGGCTGTCTTCAACGCGCGTGTGCGATACTTGAGGTATCTTTATGCGTTCTCCACGACATGAAGCTTGACATGAGTATCGGCACTTGAGCTGTAAGAGCAAATCTCGAGACTTACCTTCCTTGACCTCCTTGCACTTCTTGTCATTTTTATTACCCCCCTCATTTATCTGATACGTAGCTTAATTAAGTTTTCTTAACGGATAAGAGTTTGCCCATTACTTTAATACGATTATTACTTTTCGCATACGAAAAGTACGAAAATGTAACTGAGAACCTATTATTTTCCAAGTGATATGTTATTAAAAACAATACAAATTGCTACCGGAGTTATCGAGATCTTTTAATATCAAATTAAATGAAAAGGTTATATTTTTTATTCATTAATTTCTAGCAATTCAGTTTTTAAATTATTAAGGAAAAGAGAGAGAGGGAGGGAGAGAGCTTTTTGAGGATATCTTTCCAAGTGTCTACATTTTGTTATTTAATCAAAAGACGTAACTGCTACATAATTTTAAAGACTGAGAGACAAAATATCATCGTCGTAGTGTACTTTTACGTTTTCGCAAGGTTTTTGACAAATTTTTGACTAAAGGGAATTAAAGTATTTCTTTCTTCGCGCGAGACTTATCTCCCGCCTCGATGAAACCAACGTCGCTTCGGCAACACGAACACCAAAACAGCACGGATGCTGTCAGCGATGTCGTTGAGTGACTCTTCTTGCACCTCGTGTATGCATTCGTCGTCGGCTTAATGTGCATTCCGCCCGCGACGTTCGCTGAAGAAGGATTCCTCTGCTTGCTGTCTCACTTGTTTCTAATAGCTGGAGAACTTTCGATGAAATTTGGTCATGAGGTCACGTTCAACATTGAGGAGAAATCTTGACAAAATTCTATTAAATTGCTTAATTCTTATTTCATGCAGCTACGATTCCAATATAAGAGGAAAGTCCTCTCTTATGAGATAGGTTTCTAATATGAGATAGAGCAGGTTTTCAACATCCAAATTCAATCACAAATCTCTTTTCGCAACAATTACACAATTCAACAATGAATTTTCCACTAAACAGATTTCGTTCCAAGGGCAATAAATTCATGGTGGAATCAACTGATGATGCCTGTTAATTTAACAGAAGCCTCGCTCTCTCATATTTGAGCCTATCTCATAATAGGAGACTTTCCTCTATACGTATTTAACACACGTAATATAAAATTATGTAGTAGCTTTTTGTAACTGTCGATATATTGCTTAACTCCTGATTTTATAATTAGTGCAAGAAAAATAAAGAAAAAGAGGAAACTTTGAACTTTCTATCCGAAAGCCTACTCGCTACATTACAATTTTTCGTTTTTTCTTTTCTCCCATTCTTCTTCGCAAATATTAAATTATTCGAATCATTGCGAACAAATTATTGCTATTAATAAATAGCAATAATAAATTGTATTGGCATATATAATATACCTAATGATATATTGTGCGATGCTAAAACTATGGATTTACACTATTTCAAATAAAGAAGAGATACGTTCAGAAAGAGATATAGTCATTTTTCTTATGGATTATAATTATATAATTATACACATTATTTAATGACTGAAAACGAAAGAACGTTTATAATACATTAATAATATACCAAGATTATAAGTGCATAAATTTGCGTCCAAGTGATTGCTTCGCCGTCCTAAGGAAATGGCAGATAACAGAAAAACAATTAATCCTTTTTGAGTTCATAACAATCATCTGTGCTATTTGGATTCGTTTCAAGCCTTGCGTTCGCCCAAAGTGCAATCGGGATCCGCGAAAAATCATAGAACGGGAATGCCCCAATTTCATCGGAGGGAGAGAACTTACCGCATAGAGGAGTGTCTTCCTTCCGTTTTCTTCAACCGCGCCGATAACGTTCTAAGATCAGCGCGAGTGTCAGCACTATTTCGGGAGATGACAAGGATCGATCGCCGAGTCGCGTTTCCGCGATTGAGGAGCGCAATTCCGTGGGTCTCACATCGCCGGACGCGACTTTTCCAAAAGACGACCGCAGCCGGTGTCTTTGAACACGTGACGGATCCTTTCTCCTCCCTTCGGTGATGTTGCTCAAATAAGGCGCGACCGTCGCCCTAAAAAGGTTGAAAAAGAAGAAGCCTTCCGCCGCAGTCACTTTTATGGCGGGCAAACATGCCCTTTCACCAAACGTGGCGCGCAGAGTTTCCTAACGGCAGCATGTTGCTGTCTGTCGCTCACGATGCATCCTGTCCCCGTCCACGAATACCTCAACATTCGAAATCCGACATATCAGAGATACAAATCCCCGCGCGCGATCTTTATTTCGCGAACAAATATCTTTTTTTCCGCTTAGCGCATTTAATTTCTTACCGAACACTAATCGGAGGAAGGTTTTTTCTATTTTTCCTATACAGTCAGAAATTTTTCTAACGTTATGAGAAAGTGGAAAAAAAAGAAACTCGGTCGCAAGGTTTGGAAAGCCGAGTCATTCGTCACTCGATGACGATGCGTCTCCAAAATGTCTCATGACTGGCGTTGGGGAATTTGCCAGTCGGCGCGAAGTAAATATCTGGAACGAATCTTCCGCGGTATCAACAAACTGTTATCGTCACCGCAAAACCATTGTGACGTAAACAATTCTCGTGTAGGTTTCTCTATCGTTCAATTAAATCATTCGCGTTTATAGCATGCATGACACCCCATTCACGTCACAATTCTCTTGTCTCGAACGAATCTATCTCGATGTTAAAAATAACACTGAGTTCATAAATTTATAATTTTTCTTCCAATTAAAACAAAATAGTTTCTCTATGTTCACAAAGCGTCGTTGAAGAAAATGATGTTTCAATAAACTCTTTAAAAAAACTTTATTATTAAAATTCTTAATTTGCTTTATACATTTATACACTTATTTGCGACAAAAAGTAGAAGTACACGGGGAGAATTTTCTTTTAAAATTTATCCTGAAAATATTGTAGTCGGACAATTACGGATAATTACTAGCAAATTGTATGGTAAAATTTCAAAAAACCTCTCATAAAGTTCTTCAAAATGCTATATTGTCCTACGATTTCATGATTTTTCGGGTAAATTTTAAGATCAAGATCAAATTCTCTCCGTGTAGTTTTACAAAAAGTGCGACTGTTCGTTTTCTTTCACAATAATTATCTTACATCTCGAAACGATATTTTAATCTTCTGAATTCAACAAAACTGTTTAATAAAATTCCATTGTTTCACGAGTACCTCATTAACTACGTATCAGCTTGAATAATAGACGGAAAATCAATGAACGGATCAAAAAAGAATTTTCTTAGCAAACGTTATTTAATTCTACAGACTTACTTCCTGCATCCTAGACTTAAATTAATTACATCAATTAATAGATCATAAATACAGATAGGATACGACCGAGATGCATCGACGTTTTTTTTTTTTTTAAAGCGGACGTATCTCTCGATGCGCGTCGCGTTATACGCGTTTGAGCCACGATCGATCGTGAAACATCTTTTCTTTTCCATAACTATATTTTACATTTTTCTTTTTACACTCTTCGCTTATTCACGTCTACAAAATCGAGTAGCAAGTTATCCCCCTCTCGCTCATATAATCATCGATTTATAAATCGAATGTAATAGAAGATCTTTAAAAATCTGCAAGATCAAAAGTCTCCTAAAACTGTGAGCGCATAAATCTGTGTCTTCCAATAGCAGTTCTAAGTAAATCGGTGCTAATGAAGTATTAAGTTTTAGTCTTGGTAGTTAGTTTTTGCTATTGAAATTATGCTCTGTTGATTGGAAAATGTGTGTGACAACTTTTAGAAGAAAAGAGATGATAAAAGCAAATTGAAGGAGTCACAATGTACAGCTCAAAATTGGCAAATTTAGTTTATAGTTCTGCGTACGTTTCCAAAGAGACGACATCGGAATGCACCGTAATGAGAGAATTTAACGTGGAATTTGTTCAGTCTCGCTTCGACATTCGAAACGCGAAACTTTCGATACGAAAAAAATAACTTTACGAATTCATTGACTTTTCTCATTTCTTCGAAAAAGAAAACGCCTTCACATGCTGTACTTGATCTGATCGTAGTACATCGTCGTGGGCGGAGGTGTCGACGCGTGATGAATATTCGTGGAAACTGTGCCAGGTATGTTGGATATGCTCAGCCCGCCAATGTTGGTCAGATTTAACGAACCCAGCGAGCCCAGGGAGCTCAAGGCCACCGAGCCTCCGGGATGCGCGAAATAGGATGGCTTCCGGTCAACGATGCCGCCGCCGGAACTGTTCGAATTGGAGCCGGAATTGGCGCACTGCATTTTTATCCCTGAAACAGATTGTAGATTGTCAATGGTCTCGAAGCTATACGCATCTCTCGTGTAAAGACCTGCGTCCATGATGCTAGAACTTGGCCCAAGTTTTAATTCCGAGAAATATGTTGCCAATCAACTTGCAGCTTTTACGGAATAGCTGCAAATTCATTGGCTACACATTTCTCGAAACTAGAACTTGAACCAAGTTCTAGCATCGTGAACTCAGGCCTTAAGAGCGCTCTTCAAAAAGAAAATGCTTTTTAAAATGCTGCTTTAAAAGATGAACACCTCAAACTTGAATTATCCATCTTAACATTAATATTTTGTAATCTTCAGTAGCTCATAATTTAAGGACCAACGGTACGTGCTCGTGCGAACA